AAAAAAACAAAACATGCGAGACGGGGTACAGGGTTTTAAGCCATCGTAGATGTTTTCGAAACGAAAATTAGCGAATAGGTTTTGTTTCGAGCCACTTTAAATGTCCTGTGTGTATTTTTGGTTGGTACTCATCGCGTGCGACGTGCCCCAGATAGTGTCAATTTATACGCAGTAACAAATGAGACGCGATGGGAATTACTTTAAATTTTACGTACCGAGAAGTACGTCTGCCGTAAATTGTTAATATTTGTTATGGTACTGAGCTGTACGATGGTTGTAATTTTACCATGTCGATTTTCGGGATTTACAAACCAATCGAAAAGATTGTGATGCCTGCCTTATTAATATACGTAACTGAAAGTAAATATAATATTTATTGACACACATATTGATATTAAGATAGTGGTTTGAATTTTAGATATTTAGATTGTGATTGTTTGTCAGATATTTATATAGTTGTTCTTGCTACTTCTCGTTGCATTTCATTTTCCCCAATGTTTTATGAATTATTTCAGTTTTCTTTTTAATGTTGCAATTTTGTGTAGACTTTTTATGCATATTTTTAAGTAGGCTTATTGTAGGTATGTGATGTCTATGTGTGTAGATGACTACTGGTGGCTCCTTATTTAATAGATTATTCATAATTTGTTTATCATTTTCAAATATTCCCGAATATTACATCATGATCCTTATTCCCTCAGCACACGGGAGTTCTTTCTAAGCTTTCTTTGATTTGGTATTGCACTGGGTATTTTCATCCTACCATATTAGGAAACGCGAATTCCAAATATGGAATTATTACGCACGTATGCGTATGTTTGTTTTTAATCTTGAATGGTACAAAGACTATTTTATTATCAGTCTATCCACCTGTCCGTCCATCCTACATACTTCATCCTCTTTATTTTTTGCTATAATGTAATTGTTTAATTTATTTGTATTTCTTTTTCTTGCAGAATACTATCTGTGAACTGAAAAATCTGTATTACTGAAAACTTTTCGTGTATTCTGAATGAATACATGAATATAGGTGAATATTTTATTATTGATTCGAACTTTCACCTTTGTGTAGATTGTATGCGTGTGTTCACGAACTTGTTTTGTTGCATATGCCATCGATGCATGTTCATGCGCTATTGTTTTACCAATATATATTTTTTTACTTGTCGTAATTAAGATTTTTATATACCGTATTTATCTGGGTAAGCGCCAAGGATCCTGAACATAAAAAATTGACTAAATATCTCTGCAAAAAAAAAAATTACAACACGGAGATCGAACTGAGACAGGGAATAGAATAGCAAATGAAAACATGCAACGGAAATTAATGAACAATATAAAAAAAACAAAAATAATTTATTGCTTATAATGTGATAATAAACCAGAATTAATAAAAATGGCAAGGGAGGAATCATTTGAACTAGGATTTTCCCACTGACAAACACGCCCAATACACGTGAACACAAAATTAACTAAAATGTCAAATTGTGTAAAATTATTTCCGGTTTTGACAAATACTGGATCAACTGTCATACAAAATCAATAATAATTTACAAATTTACACAGTAAAAATTGTGAAAGTTCATAGTTGTTTGAAAACACTTCTCAGATCTCTATTTGTACGTTCATTGCCATCTTCGTTAAAGTCAAAACCCTCAAAGTCCAAGTCGGTGTCACAGTCACCGTCAAACTCAACCCCTATAGCTTTGTCTTTTAATCCAAAGATTTTTCTGTCGTCACCTTGGCACTTTTGATTCATGTCTAATCACATTATAAACAGACAAGAAAAATGGAATCGTGGCAAACGACTCTGCTACAATGGAACACGATGCTTTTGTTTAGTCTGTCAATTATCTTTGAAATTTAAGCATCTGCTTTACTGATTGGCTAAGAATGACATCACTACTTAGTACTAGTGTTTCATCATAGAGGTTAAGTCAACATTGCTTAAACAATTTTCATGACAGAAATATAATAGCTGTGACGAAAGATGGTAAAAAAGTAGACGTGACATTATAAAATTGCTGGCCCAGTTAACTTATGGATTCGCAAGCTGCTTCCAAAATTTATAAAGCCAAAGTAACGGGATTTCAACCACTTTCACCACAATATTGCAACATTGGTTTCATTGTCGATGGCGCTAAAGCCTAACGAGTGTGACTCTTGTTCGCGGTTTTCCATATACTGTAATATTTACATGAATCGTTTCTATAATTAAACACAAACCAAACGGCCCTTTTCAGGGCCACGACATATTTCAAAAAGAGAACTACCGATTCTGCTTTAATATACATTTTGTATACTTGCTGACTTATGATTCTGATAAAAAAAAATCTTGAAAAATAAATTATGTAAACAGCGGTGAACACGCTGCCCTGAAGGCAAAAGGCAAAATTACCTATTTTCCTGTCACAGCTATTTCGCGTTCACCCCTCATTTTACGTAATTGACATTTATTAGTTCCCGTTCGGACGGTTGTCCGAAACGTGAAGTAGTGTTTTTGGTTGTGTGCGTGCGTGCGTGCGTGCGTGTGTGTGTGTGTGTGTGTGCATGTGCGGTCATATTTCAGACATGCTTTGATGGATTCTCTTCAAATTTGGTACACATACATGTTATGAAGGTATACATATGCACATGTTTTGTGATTAGATCATTTTTGACCGTTTGACAGCTATTTTAGACCCCAAAATGTGCAGATTCTGATTAAGATGGACTATAAATTACATGCATCTAATACAAAGTTGTTTTTATGTTGTTAAATTAATGTCAATAAAGTTCTATTTTTATTTTGGTTTGTCAGAATGTTACCTTTATTTGTTTTTTATTTGATATCTTGATTTGAAAATGATTGTAATAAAGATTATCAATATTTTTACTACGTACCTGGACCCTGCCTTTCCCCTACATTGTATTATCGTTCAGGCAATGTGTTTCAGTGTTGCATCTTGGGAGAAGATTCGCTTAAGTGAGGTAAATGGTAACACACCTCGTGTTCTGGTCCATGTTTATGGATGCCTGTTGTCACTTTCGCGATAATTAAGACTGAATAGTCTGAAGATCACCTAATTATTTGGTAAGTACAGTGGAGTAATTTATTTTTTTCTACTGAGTGTGGGTTTTTACCTTATTTAATTAATGCTTCCTGCAATGATATGTTTGCCTGCTCGTTTGTCATTCAAGCTCCTTCAAGCCAGTTATCTATTTCAATTTGTGTTGGCTAAAAAAATATTTTCTTGCGTTTAACTGAAATATAAGTAGCCCTACGTATAATGCTATGTTGATCAGGGCTAACTAATGGACAATGCATCTTCACAGTGCCCTACGCATGCAGTCACGGTTGTTTTGTATTCGATCGTCACAATAGCGACCATGCATTGGAAAATGACTGTTTTTGGACGCATTCAAGATAATTGTTCTGGTTTGATTATTACAATAAAAAAATCATTGATCCAACAGTATCACGTGATTACGATTTTGAGTGCCATTACGAGAGAAACTGAATAACTTCATTCAAAATGCCCTGTCTGAGGAGGTACGTCCGCCATTTTGAGAGATTAGCCAGAATTTTACGTCATCGGTAGTGTAGAATTTTATTTGTAAATGAAATATTGCCTCGTGACAACGAGTCATTTAGTCATTTAAACGAATAGTCATTTAAACCGTAAAATAGTAGTTTATGTCGATTAATCCCAGTCTTTTTATTGTGAAGACGCTAAAAGTTAATTTTTGCTGTCCACCTCCAAAATGACTGAGTCGGGCGATCGTCGGTCCGTGTTATGGTCTACCCCCCGGATACAGACCGTGTACGCAGGACTAAAATATAAGATGATATATTTGTAAGCAACGATATATGAAATTTCGTGAATTGTATCGTTGCAAATCTACGAAGGTAATTTGTTTGATGCCCGTAGCCGGTGGTCGCACCGTCTATGTATTAGTGC